GGGGGGGGGGGGGGGTTGTCGATAAACCAAATCCAACCCATCACTTAAAATTTGTTTTCTGAGACTAAGGGTTTGATACGGGTTTGCTGGTAATTCGCTACCAATTCGAATTTTAAATGTCTCCAACAAGGTAAACATCCGTTTTTTTAAAAAAGAGTTTGAAATTATCCTTTTGGAATCAAGATTTATGTAAACACTTTACCGTATAAACATTATCTTGTGGTGTTTCTATTTCACCAGAATATTGAACTATAGCTTTTAAATCTGGTAATTGATCTTTCACTTGTAAAATTTTCTTTAAATAAGCTGTATTTTCTACAACTATAACTTGAGCTTTACTGTCAGCGGCTATAAACTGACAAGCTTCGGCATTGTTTGTTGTATAGATACCAACTCCAATACCACTGTGAAGAATACACAAATAACATTATAGAATTATATTATTGCATAGCTCTATGATTTAAGCTTTCATATAAGATGTTGTTAGTACTGATTTTAACCATCGCAAAGAGCTATAATTCATGGAGTTTATAATATTTAAATTCAATTTCAATTCTGGAAACTTATTTGCATTATTCCTTATACTAGAAAATAGCTCCGAATAAGAAACTTCGATAATTAAACGGGCATTTTTTTACACATTCAAAACTGCATGATATTTTGATGAACAATTGTGATACAATGAAGCAACATAATGATGTATTTGCCATGACAACAACACAACTTGCCTATCCTTTTTGACACCAAAAATCTAGTAAAGTATTGCGCAAGCGACTTCGGTTTTCGCTCCACATGCAAACTAGTTAGTTACATTGAAACACACTTTTTATAAGCTACCACTACCAAATAAAGACAAACAATCGAAAGTCAGAGTCAGGTCAATATTTACTCACCCAGCAAAAATGGCTCCAAGATCAGCAAAGAACCATTCTGGACTGTTAAAACCCATAATACATACACTATAATGTGGTTGTAGACCAAGCTGAAATTGTAATAAAGAAAACCACATATGACCATAAGAAAAACAAATAGTAATACCGTGCAATCATCTCTGTGCAAATTCTAAATGTTCCAGTTAACTTCAAGATATTTCTTTCATTTATGTAAGGCTATAACCAATAAATCAAATGGAACAATTTTGAACAATTCTCATATAATGTATCTATCTTTCTATTTCGGGCGAATTTTCTAAATCAGCATTGATTTATCAAACAACAAACAAAATATGTAGTCATCCTTTGCTTCAATTTACAGTTAATTCAAAATAAGACAATCTATAGTTTTTTGGCATCTCCAAATGAAAAACTGCGGTACAAATTGTTCTTGTAAGCAAACCTTATTCCTACAAGTGTGGGTTGGGTTGTTCTGTAGCCGATGTAAGAACAGTGACAAGTAACGTCAGCATTAGCTACACAGGGCATTATATTGGATTTTACGCTAGTCAATCAGATCCCCGGATTACACGCGCGCAGACATATTGTTTACAGGATTTCTAACAAGGGCTCTGATTAATTGTATTCGCTATCGCACGATCTAATCAAATCGCTTCATTTACAAACTTCGGTGATACAAGAAAGGTGACTATTGCAGGCAAGGTATCAAACGCAGTTCTTAATGGCTTCCACGCTATCGCTTGAGGAATAATTAACCACCTGAAATCATCGACCTATATACGACATCGATATTTTTATTAATCTAATGACTAAATATTGACTTGCTTTATTTATTGACTACTGTAATAATGGAAACATCTAATAGCTACTGTACAAACAAAATCAACAAATAATCAGTAACAGATCATAAAAGGAGTTGATTTGGTCTTTAAAGAACTAAAAAATGAACGAAAATTGCATAATTTCTTCAAAAATGCCCCAAACTAGTAATTCACTTTCTATTTCTTATTATGTCTTTTCTTTATATATGGCAGTCTCAAGAAAAAACGAGTCGTTTTTAATTCTGGACACACATGTATTTGAAGGCTCCAATTTTGAACACTTATACTGACAAGCTTAGCTTAATAATTCCCCTTTCTAACTCTAAGGTATGATTGGTCAAACGGATCAAACATCATATAGCATATTATAAAGGAAATTATTCATCCATTTTGTAGCCTCTCCGGTCAATGACTTAAATCAAATTAATTAACACGTACTGCTTCAATTGCATTTGGTGACGATCGCTTTTACGTTAAAGAGGTGATCTTTTATCAGAGTCATATACTGTTATATACTATTGGCAATAAAGTCTTAGTACCTTTGAGATAGCGTGAATGAATTGCCACACACACAGACGTCAGAAATTTGGAATGGTACTAATCAATGACAATGTTGACTAAAAACGATACCAATTCCTTTCCGGAAGATAGTATCAAGACGTCGTTACCAATTACAATTACTACTAAATTATCACTTAATTTCCATTCTCAATCTTACCTTAATCAATACTTACCTTAATAAAACTTTTGGCTGTTGTTTTACAAGAATCATAATACTGTTGATACGTCCACTTGATCCAGGCATTATTTATTTTTACACCTGTTGAGATATAAAAATATACAGTTCAATATTCAAGACCTTTTTCTTTCTATTACCCCTTTAAATCTCCTATAAATCTTTACTATTTCCCTGAGGCCTTCCCTGTAATCTTTTTCATGACGGATAATATAGCATGACCAAAAAGAACAACTTAAAGTATAATTTTATGCTAGACTACAAAGCACCTCATTAAGCTCCAACAAACTTCAAAATGATCCCTTCGGGAATAATAACCCCCAGATTGAAATGACATGCTATAGAGAAGGGCCCTCAACAGATTGCACACAATATATATCCCCTTAAACTTTCATATTTCTTATTATTTCTTTTCATTGAAATTCAATGAATGTCTACAAAAGCTTGCTATGATCTTACAAAGCAATGTCGTAAGGCAACTAAAGTTTAACTTTGCTCAAAACCGGTTTTCAGATATACGAATGAAAAAGGATTCTGATCACAATTGAGATCAATAGTTTTGTACAAATATTAGCTCCTTCGACATGAAGCATTGACAAGACACAAGCATAAGGAATGAAAATCCAAAGGCATCATCTTTAGCTATGTTGCACCGAACTCAGGCCTTTAAGCCTACATTCAAGCCCAACATTGAAGCTGCAATGAAAGATACAAAACAACGTTTTCATAAAGTGCATCGTAAATATTTGGTCAAGGTTACATAGACGACAACATTACTAACGTCATGCATATCAAATAAAGTAAAGTATGCCACGCAAAATATGATAACCCAGTTTTATTATACAACAAGAGACTTCATAACTCATACGCGGAGCAGAAATGAAAAGACGAAAGCATTGAAACAAATAAAAAATCACCACTTCAGCAGGCTACATCCAGCGCTATTTATCACAGATAAATCTTGTTGCCTTATTTTTTTCTTTGAATGGACTTACCTGGTGTCATAACCAAACCAAAAGAAACCCTGTTTATGATGATAAATCCATTGAACTTTTAAGCGTTTTGCAATAATTACCTGTAGTTTATTAGATTATTATTTAGTTTTATGGATTGATTGGATTATAAAGGGATTCTGTTGTATAGTTGTGGCACAAAGTCCACCGATGAATATAGACTACTTTTCGATCAATTTTAAACATTTAAACTTTTTGGTCATCCTAAGAGGTGTTATTCCTTAAAGGTGTGCGAATATATTTAATAAATAGGGTAATACATCCCTTCAGATATACTTACATAGAGCCGTATTATTGGGAATTTTATCCACTGTATTTTTAAAGAAATCTGGTATGGTCTGAGTTTCGATGGCCCCAATTCCTTCACCAACTCGAATCTGTACAGCACCATCTCTTTCAACGGTGGAAAACGTCTTTTCAGGTAGGACATTATCTGAAATGAAAGATGTTTAATAGTCTCTCAAAACTTATGGAGCACTACGACCAGTGGCGTATATTAAGGTTAATTGGAATATCAGCTTTAAAACAGATATTACTTGAATGACTTTGCGTTTAAAAATACAATTTTTTGTAAGTTTACACACTTCCCTCCTAGAAATTTCAACCAAAAATGTCTCACGTTTCGGCTTAAAATCCTCTGTATGAACAAATTAGGCTAGTGGTACTATTTTGGATGTGCATAGCGACATCGGTCCTTGCTCAGTTTCTATTTTATATGATATTAAACGTTTAAATAGAAGGTCACTTTCATTCAAATCATAACCATGATATTGTTAAGGAAAAAACATGTTAAAACATCTGCATGTCCTGCATTTTGTCAGGTAAGCCAATCAAACTAAGTTAATGGCTCCTTAAGAAAAGAAGTGATTCAGCTATTCAGTCTAAAGTAAATCTTCATCTTGTATGCTCATATACATTTTAAAATATAAACAAATATGCTATTTTTAAAGGAGGGTTTGATTTCAAATGTACATGCTTGGGTTTGAACAGTTATTCATTTACAAATGGGGCGATGATCTGTTAGGTGTTCTCGGTAAGGTAGTTTTCTTGTCCTAATTTTCCTTTTTCATATTGAGAACAATTTTGAAGAGATGAAAACAGTGTATGAATATTGATAATCTGTTCCATATTTGGTCTTATACTTCCGAGTAGTTCCAAATAGGTCACACATGTGATGAAGTAGGTCAAGTAACTATTACATTTTATATAGATATTACCGCCTTAAATTGAACATTATCTCAATCACGGTAAGGAACATGAATCAAAACAAGTAGTATATGAGGGTGAAAGTTTGTAAAACCAAGACACCAAATTACAAAAGCAACTTACTATTTTCCATTTTATAAATGATAAATCCACAATGTTTATACTATAGACTTTGCCTTGAAATAAAATTCACTGATTCGTATGAACCTGTAATATCCTTAATGGGATTATTTGCTGAAATCCGAGACGTTAGACGATAACCTTGTTAAAAGTCACATCAAGTCAAAGTTTCAAATCTTGTATCGATCAAATATCGGAGACTGGCTTAAACTTTTCTCCAAATATATCACTATTTAATATTCTTCTTGTATTTAAAACAGTACAGTGATTTTAAGTCATGCATTTACAAAAATATAATCAAGCCGGATTTAAGTTTATCATAATTTGTCAGTACATCCTTTCTTATTTCAACTCAAAACTTCTAGTAATGTCTCAGATTATTGTCCATGTACATTCACTCAAAACATGTCTTGACAAGCAGGTTTTATATTTACATGCATGCAAAACCATAAACTATATCCTTATAATACTTGCAATACTCTTTATCGATAACAATAAAGCTATACAAAACAATCTTCTCATAAATTATGCAATTCAAACGCTCGATTATGGCGTCTGTCCTTGACCAAATAATAAATGAAGGCCGGGAGCCACGTATTAAAAATCAAAAAAGCTTGTAACTACTCATGTGAAACAGAACCCGTTTTGACCTGGTTTTTGTCACATCCAGTCCAAATAAATTCTCACGATTTTAACGAAATAATATTGTCACTGTTTAGAATCTATTTAACGCTTCCAATAAACCAGACCTTCACATAGTAAAATATTAATCCACATGCCGGCTATCAATACCCAATTAAAAAATCAACGACCTGAATTGTCAATATTCTTGCTTTAGCCTTCAACATCATCCGAAGGTCGAATTTGGATACCTTAAGGCACACCGAATCTTAAATCCATTTATGTAATAGCAGTCTATATATTGACATCTTTATCAAAACCACTCAAGCAACTAGTATGTTATAAAAATATAGCCTATGTGACTATATGAAAAACCGGTCCAATATGTAGTCTATATACCCTTCCTTTGACGGTAGGTAAACATTTGAATTGCATTAGAGGTGAATGGTTTGTGTGTGTGTGTTTGAATTACCTGATTACTATATACAGCCTACTTTCCCCTTCGCTGAACAGTAGCAGAAATAAATACGTGAAGATGATCACTCTACCCCAATTGGAAGCATTAACCGTGACACACTGCATACCTTGACATGATTTAGCATGTGTGAAATTATGTTACGTATAAATAAAAAGGATATATCCATTTACCACAGTTCATTACGGGATTACTGAAGCACTAGGTAGACTATGGACCATATACCAATAACTTGACCAAAATATTGATGAAACAAATTATTTGTCATATCAAACAAGGTTGCGTTTAAGATCATTATTCCTAGGGGAATGGGTTCGAACACTCAAACCCAATCTGAATATATTGGTTGCGTCGGTGAAACTAAGGATTCGAACTTTTCAAGGGTCTCTTGTCTTACCGTTTATGCTCGCCCCGTCCTCGGTGTTGATATGTATGGTATCTGGTGATACGAAATCATTCTCAAGATTGGAATCTATTTCAGCCATGCTTAATCTGAAGATAAAAGTTCAAATTGCATTATAGCGGAACTTTGTCCCATTCGTAACCAGTATTCTTCTTATATTATATCAGATTCTCAAGATATATTCAAATATTTATTCAATATTATTCAAACTAACAGCACAAACAATACTCTCTCACAAGAATATAAACCTGCATGTCTGTGACTGTGCTTTCGTAGCATTTCTTAACAGCAATGTTACAACCTAACATGTTATGCCTAGTGTAACTATTAAATAGAAATATTGTTAATAAATGCAACGTTGTATTTTATGACAACTTTACTATCTGGTATAAACATCAACATTTTTAATTATCACAGGATATAAAGTTCGAAGTGGTCAACGTACGTTTGGGTATACGGTAAATTTATTTTTCAACTTATTTCACTTAAGTTACCTATTTTGTTCTTTTTTTTTGACGAAAGATAAATATTTATTATATAAACTTTGATGGATGAATCATTTTTTTAAGTTTTAGTCTTCACCTGTTCTGATTATCATCCAATTTCCATTGCACCCCTGTCCAGGTTCAATCCCAGACAAAATTTCCTAATTGCACACTGCATGACATTAACGGATTTCATTAACTCGGACAGATGCAGAAAATGAGGACGTTTAACTACATTTCATACCTGAGCAATATAACAAATGTATTACAAAAATCAATCTGCATTATGCGAGGTAAAAGTTATCTCGGTCTTAGATCACAACCTTTTTTCAGATTTTCAGACAAAAAGAACCACTGCTTACCTGTGTGTGTGGTGGTCAGATCTAATGTGAATCTCTACATTAATATGTGATATACTGTATCTATGTCAATAAAGTCATATACAATATCTCCAGTATTAAACATTAACAAGATTAATTAGGTAACGGATATTAATAACAAAGTCACAAGATTAAGATTAGGGTTAAAGGGGCAGATTTGTGTCTTGAATATAAGTAAATAGTTTTCAGAGGTACTAGAAATTTACGAAAATCGCACAATTCCTTCAAAATAAAAAAAAAAGGCAGGGTTTCAAGAAAAGGCGAGTCGTCATTTCAAACTCGAATAATTCAGTATGGATACGAAGGCTAAAATGTCGACGGTGAGCTATGTGCACTATTACTGAGTACGAAAATGCATATCTGTCTATTTCATTCCGATCGTGTCGGACAAGTAGAGCATTTTGGCCTAGCGAGTAACAAGCTTCTCACTACTTTCGCTGTTGTGGTTATATTCACCTTTTGCTGCCTAAATGGTTTTTTACGTCTTTCTGGCTTGATCGGTTACCTACCCTAGTCCATAATTATGATATCATTTTTTGCAAAACCAGAATTGACGTATTGCACTATGTCCACAAAATTGTTTTTGAGACTGTAGAACGTATTCGTGGACCTATGTATCTCAGGTTTTCTTTACAATGTTTTTGTACCACGATGTATCTTACGCAATTAAAATATTGAACATTTTTAAAAAAGTTTGTCAGTTATATTGAAAACGAATCAATCGCTGGTTGCATCGTTTCGACGTGTTTCTCTCGTCGTTCCCAGGCACAAGGTTGATAAAAAGATAGGGTGACTTCTTGAAATAGATTAAACCCGAATTTCAATACAAAAATTTTACTTGATATAACTAGATTAAAATATGAAGATATGTACTTTATGATGATGGTGATTATTTGCATCACTTTCCTTCATTAAAAAATATTAAAAACATGAAGAATGTGGTTGACTTGGTGGCTGTTCTACTTTGTGATGATGGCGATTAATGTACCAATTTCTTGATTTGTATATAACCCGTTTGAAATATAAAGAATCTAGTTATCCGGGGTAGTGTATTACTTTGTGATGATGGCGTTGATTTACAATAATTTCATTTTTAGCATCTAACCAAAAATGTAAAGAATTTAGTTATCTGGGTGGTTGTTCTACTATGAAATGATGGCGATGATTTTTACCAATTTCTGCTTGGTATATAACCAGTTTAAAATATAAAGAAAATAGTTTTCTGGGTGACTGAGCTACTATGCGATGATGGCGAAGTATATGATAAACCATTATTTATGATTTGTGTCTATTTATAGTCATATTAACCGTGTTTAAAAACATATTATAGTTGATTTATTATTACCACGATTCCATTTTGTCTACAGTCGAAACTTTCTAATAACTTTACACACAATATAACCTCGAATTATATGTGCATTTAGAGGTAAATGTTCGTGTGGAGTTCACACTAGCACACTAACAGGTCAATTTTATTGCAAGTGATGCAAATCTAAACGTGAGCATGATAAAATCACCCCGGTGGTAACACGACTTCTGTCTGCGTAATGACACGCACGTCGACGTGCTCATAGTCATTTGCATTCATATTCATTTTTGAACCGGGAATTAAGTAGGACAAGGGAAATGAAGCAAACAGATTTTGAAGTTATTTTCATTGACACAATGCAATTATCAACGTCTTAATGGGTCGTCATGAATTATATTAATTTGTAGTTTTTAGATCGGACAATGAAGTAAAAGGACTGTGAAGTAATTTTCATTTACACAATGCCATTAACAATCAAGAGAAAATTTCAGTCTTAGAAAATGCCAAAACAATTCTCCTTTGAATATTAAACTGTAAAGTTGTCAGATAGAGAAACACTGTCTACGATGTAAAAATTTATAGAATTAATTAGTTATTTTATCATTACTTGTTTCAGACCATTAATGTTCCTATACATTATCTATTTTATTAAAGATAGGTTACCACCACTTTTGCAACAAAATGTATGACTGTTCAAATGAAACTTTCTCCCAAGCGCATTGCGTGATATCGTCTTTCTTCATCGAATATCTATGCCACAATTACATGGGACAGTATCTTTAACTGTTATTTTGCTTCAATCAAGTCATCTCACTGGAAACAATGGAGGCTTTTAGATAGTTTATTACGTCGACCATTTACAAAGAAAAGTTGTAAATAAAGCTCCACTGTGGGGGATTGAGATTGAAATAGCATCTGGAAATCAGTTGTCAAACCTATTTAGATAACGTTTTATAAAAAGTATTAAATCAAAACATGATAACATTCTTCTTTTTACTTTATTTTCTAATGTGTTTTGTACGAGAATAGTTGTATTTGAGGAATGAAAATGGATTTCAAAACTGTGCCATGGAGGTAAATTTTACTTTTGAAACATAATTTCCTTGGCGTATTTAAGTGTCATCTGGTGGTTCTTTAGTTGGAGAATCAATGCTTGTGTTATGCTTTTCCAGCCACAATATTTTCTATTGGTTTAATATTTAGGGTAGCCAACCAGTGTAGCTAAAATTAAGTGCTTTTAGTTTTATGGAAGTTCTAATCCTATAAGGTACTTCGATTCGTGTGCTGGATTGTTCAATTCAATCATATAAGTTATATTTGTAATACTTTTCACATCATAAATAGGTCGTCATACGCAATAATAACGTGTATACTACGTGCAAACATGTATTTTTTACTTTGGTAGTGGTCGTGAAATATAAGTTAGATCCCTTACAAATACAAACATAAAGCCGTGTTGTCAATACAACTGTCTTGCTTGATAGGGTGAATAAAAATACGCTTTTTACAATATATATTTCGCACGTTTGTGAAAGTCTTATTTGGGTTAATTCGAAGGTAAGGCTGTATGCATACTCTTATTTACCTAACAGTTTACCCTTTTTGTTCATTTTAAGGCGAGTTTCTGAAAATAGCTCAAACCTTTTATGACAGTTTGTTTTTATGTGATTCGTAACACATATTTCGTGGTTAGCTACCCAAACTGATTTTGGTTTGTGGTTATTTCATTAGGTTCTAATTAAAGATTTATATCAATTTCTGCATGGTAAATCATATAGACTGTGTTGTGTTTTAAAAACTGAATCCATATTAATGTAGTATGATTTTGAAGATATTGTTCGAAATAACCGCGCAAATTCTTATTGCCTGGTAGTTATTAAGGTCTATCCTGTTTCCTAATTAGGTTTCTGTTGGAAAGAACAAAAATGTAGGTCAGTGTTAAAACCTATTCGTAAATACGGTTGTCTTTTCACCAAATGCCTCTCCGGAATATATGATATCAATCTTTTACTTGTCTCTTTGTTATAACAACATAACTTGTACCAAACATTACTTGTACCATACTTGCACTGTAGAGGGTGTTGCTGACAGTGCCTTGCCTTGGAACCATTTGATAACCCTCTATATTTCCGCTTGTGTACTCTAGCATGAAGAACTTTTTAAACAATATTAATATTCCCCAATGTGTCATACAAAAATTGAAATGTAGGATATAAAACACAAATATTTCAAACTGCATGATTTTCGCACGTTAACGAATTCTTATATAACGAAGTAATATCACTATTTACATATTTATTTTCAGTTTAGATTGGATAAGGCAATAAGCCAAGGCTGTGCACGTGTCCCTCAATACTTGGAAATCGAAAAAGAGTACGTTAATGCCGATGTAGTGGTAAAATTACCCTCATTGCACACTGTTTTGGCGTGACTTGTCTTTATTAGCCTATTAGGTTCAGATAGATATAGCGGATTTTTCATGATGTTTGTCGGATGGATTTCAAGGTATTTTCAATAATGATATTTTTATACTACATATTCTAAATCAAATAATTTTTTCTATTTTCCAGGGCAGTGTTACATCATCAACATGGCGTCTACCACAAACTTTAACTCTGAAGATAAAAACAGTATGTCCGGAAGCAAGCATGTATTGGTAGCTCCAGAGCAGATAATGTAAGTTGACGCTTAAACTGTGTTCCTGGAACGATCGCTTTATTCTATACTTTTAGGCTTCACCTGAACATCATGTTATTTACCAACGTGGGAGGCAGAAGGCAGAATATTGATGTTGGAAAAGTTCACAGCTTCAGTTTATTTCATTATCAGTTGTAAAGTACTTTTATTGTCACCCAAATTATTGTCTTACACTGAAAACGTGGCCATCATTCAACGTCTAGACAAATAGAAAATCTAACTCAGTGGTCGCCGACTAAATCGACCAAATTTTTTAACATGAGTTACACCCCTTTGTCGGAAAACTCCAGTCACAAGAGTTTCTAGGGTACTAAGGAGGAATTTGTGACTATCTAATCGAACTCTAGAAAAATGGATAGTCTGGCTGACTGGTCATCACTGGCTGAACTTAATGAGTCTAGTTTCATCCCTTATGTTTTTCTTCTAAAAATCAAAATGAATATGTTCATGCCGGTTTATAAGACAGCTTCACACGAGCACTCGCGCACTTGGGTTTATGCTATACTTCAATTATTACGAAATCGTTAAATGGTATACGAATAGCTGAATGATATTTAATGAAAATATTCAAAATATTTCTATTTTTAACTAATGGAATTAAAGTAAGCAAATTTGAACGAAAATTGTGAAAACATGTATAGGCCACCGACAAAGAAAAGAAGTCGAGAAAGCGCGAAAAAGTGGGAGAAGGCAGGGTAAGGCGAGAAAACGTGGGGCTTAATATTTCAGCTGATAATATGTTAAAATTGACAGTTATTAAAGTTATATTCAACGATGTAAAGTAAATGTTTATCCTTTGTTCTATAAAGTTTATTATCAACCTATATTATATAAAGTTTATATTCAATCTACATTATATAAAGTTTATATTCAACCTATATTATATAAAGTTTATTATCAACCTATATTATATAGAGTTTATATTCAATCTACATTATATAAAGTTTATATTCAACCTATATTATATAAAGTTTATTATCAACCTATATTATATAAAGTTTATATTCAATCTACATTATATAAAGTTTATATTCAACCTATATTATATAAAGTTTATTATCAACCTATATTATATAAAGTTTATATTCAATCTACATTATATAAAGTTTATATTCAACCTATATCATAACAAGTTTATTATCAACCTATATTATATAAAGTTTATATTCAATCTACATTATATAAAGTTTATTATCAACCTATATTATATAGAGTTTATAATCAACCTATATTATATAGAGTTTATAATCAACCTATATTATATAAAGTTTATAATCAACCTATATAATATAAAGTTTATTATCAACCTATATTATATAAAGTTTATATTCAACCTATATTATATAAAGTTTATATTCAACCTATATTATATAAAGTTTATATTCAATCTACATTATATAAAGTTTATAATCAACCTATATTATATAAAGTTTATTATCAACCTATATTATATAAAGTTTATATTCAACCTATATTATATAAAGTTTATATTCAACCTATATTATATAAAGTTTATAATCAACCTATATTATATAAAGTTTATATTCAATCTACATTATATAGAGTTTATAATCAACCTATATTATATAAAGTTTATATTCAACCTATATTATATAAAGTTTATATTCAACCTATATTATATAAAGTTTATATTCAATCTACATTATATAGAGTTTATAATCAACCTATATAATATAAAGTTTATATTCAATCTACATTATATAAAGTTTATTATCAACCTATATTATATAGAGTTTATAATCAACCTATATTATATAGAGTTTATAATCAACCTATATTATATAAAGTT